TCGTTCCAGAGGGAAAGAGAGCCAATAAGGAAGCCCAAGGACTCCAAAATTCGAGAATTGGAAGCTTGAAATCAATCCAGATTTACTACTGAACTTAGAGACCATCTGACCAACTTCAAAAACATCGCTTCAAACAGAATTTGACACCAGAGGGTACCAAAATAACGTGTCAGAAGAAATAGCTCAAGTTTGGCTACCTGGATTGCAAACTACTATATGATCCTGATAGGTTGCCACCGAAGACATGAGACCAGCATATGGAATTTTCTCAAATGGACAATTAGCATCCAGTTGCTGTTGCAACCAATTCGTAGGGATCTTCTTCAATGGAATGGATTTCTCTAGAATCATCTCCTCACATATCCCTAAAATCTTTGAAGATTCTTTTAAATAAATACAAGTCAGTGACTGAAAAGGGGACAACTATCAAGTGAACTGAAAATAATCTATGTTACTTTCAAACCTTTTACAACTTCTTTCATAAGCCCTGATGCCATATCTATGACCCATAGAGTTCCAAAGCTGCACATAGAAGTGATTATCAAACCAATTATACAACTCAAAACAACTAGGATCATGACACAACATCCAGAGCATTAGAATGCATAATATCAATTTGAATCCTTTTATTTTCCTTTCCTTTTCCTTTTTATATTTTATTTTATTACTATTTTTTAATTTGGTAGTGGTGGATGACTGCAATACAGGTTAAATTGACAAATTAAACTCAGGTGTAAAACTGAAAATGATGTTATAAACTCCACTAGATGCACCAGGTGCCCAGTATGTGAAAATCCAATCATGTGCTGGAGTTCAGTTAGATTATAATTGAACATAGACCACTTTGACAATTCTTTTTTTTCAAATTCTGAACATGAATTTTTGAAATGATACAAAGCAACAGTTTGATAAACTTATGCTAAATTTATTATCCACATCCTCGTGCCAAAACCACACCCCACCCAACCCAAAAAAAATGAAAAAATTAGAAGAGAGTTAGAAACAAAAGAGAAAAAGTACTGAATTCATATGAAAAGATCCAAAACTGCTTTCCGATCTTTTATTAAGCACCTATCTAGGGCCTTCCCTTTATCCCCCCCCCCCCCCCCCCCCCCC